GACACCCACCATGCTGACAGCAAGTTGCTGGTCTGTGCCTTCATCTCTCCCACAGGGAGGTGCCTTGGGGCAGGACTGTCAGAATAATTTTGGCATCCTCAGTCCTGAGCCTGGAGTTTGCTGAGCAGGATGGACTAGTGCCCTCTCCTTTAAAGTTGTCTTTAAAGAACTACAGTCTCTAAAGTCATGTTATTAAGAGACAGCTGTGCTCAGGAAATCCAGTGACACTGGTGCCTGCCTGAGTTGGAGGAATTTCTGGAGAGGCCCACAGCACACCCACCAAGCACCAGGCTTCTTGGCCCCCGTAGGCCTGGGTTCATCCATTTGTTCACTCCAGTCTATTCCACTGAAGTCCATTTATTCATGTGTGCAAGCAACATTTCCTATTCCATGGAAAGCCAGCTCCTTTGGCTTGGCAAACCGTGACTGAGATAGCACACCGAGCCCTGAACCCCTGGGGGCAGAAACTGAAGCCAGGAGGTCTAAGGATCTTCCTCAGAATCTTCGAGGTGAGCAGGTGGTAGCTCTTCTAATGTTCAGCTACACTCGCAGAGGCCACACAGAAGCCTCCCTGTCCCACTGACAATGACCTCACAGGCCTTCTGCTCAAGGGCCTGCTAAGCAGCATTCTTGGCATTCCTTCTCATACACAGCCCAAGGGACAGAGCTGTACTTTCAAACCTTACAACCAGCCCTGTGCGTGAGAAACGAAGGCTAAGGGAAAGTCTCAGGCAGGTGTTTTGGGTTCAAATTCCAGTTCTGATGCTTACTAGTATGGAATATGGGCAAGTTACACTGCTTATCCTCCAAGCTACAGTTTCCTCATCTGTGAAATGGGGATATTCCAAGTGCTGGGGCTTTAAGTAATAGCCAACCTTTCTGGAAGCTTCCTAGGGCCCTTCTCTGACTGTTGTCATGGCTCCTGAGTGTTGGGTCCTCCTGAAGAGCAGTAAACAGAAGTTCTTTCTGGGTTCTTACTAGAAGTACAATTATTTTTCCCCCTCATCTGCCTATAGTCCATTAAGTTGTAATTAGCAATTATTAAAATATTATTAAAGATCACCAAAATTTGATGACCCTAAATGAAAAATAGCAGGACTCATGTCAGGGTTTGATTGGGAATATGGCTGTTTCACACAAATCCCTCTTGGCAGGTGGGGCAAGAGTGGATAAGATGAGGCTGTTGCTTTGGTTGCCAATGGCTGTGGGTCTCAATCACTGCTGCTCTGGCTTTTCTAAGGTGAGTGTCTGCCTGCAGTTCTGTGACATGGACAGATTCATTTGCTGTAATTTGTGTGGTCACTGATGAGGGGCACTGATGCCCATCACACCAGTGGTACTTGGGGTCTAGAGTTTTCCAGTGATAAGGCTGTAAGCTCTGTGTGTACTGTGGGTCATCCCCACCAGAGTGGTAAAGCAGACCACATACAACCCTCTCCAAATTGGGAGGTCCTGGATCACCTTGTGGGAGATGGATCACCTGTCACAAATTCAGGTCACTCAAAAAGCTTGCTGCATCCTAACAACCTACTGGGTCATTTTAGGGTTAGAAGACAGTGTTTTGGAAGATGAAATCGTGTGCATATGTTCACCTTTAATCCTAGAGTCAATAAGCAGTGACTCATAGTTGTCAAGAGTGACAAGTCCATTCATCCTCTCACTTGACTCTTCTCTGGTTTGATGTCATCAAAGAGGTTGTTTCCCCTACACAGTGGGATGTTCAGGGCTGGCAGGAGCTATTGTCCCAGCCCACCATCCAGGCTACCTTTCACAGTGGGAGCTGGTGCTTGAGGCACTGACATGTAATGGAGGGTGGGGGCAGCAGACAGACAGTGCTGGCCAAGGGTGAGCCACAGAAGCCCACACCAGGCCACTATGCTTTATCAGACTCTCAGCAAAGGGGTATCTCCAACCATGTGTGTGCTGAGCTCTCTGAAGCCCTGATGGCTCCCCAGGAGCTGACTGGGAAGGGTAGGTGCTGCACACCTAGAAAGACCATGGACAAGGTGCTGCCTGCCTCTGCTCCTCGGACCCACCTTGAGATGCAGATAACAAGACCCAGCTCTAAAATAAAGTGCCTGGCACTGAAACAGTATTTAGGAAGCACAGTGATGTGATGACATGGGCAGGAATAAGGTTTGTCTGGAGGAACCTTATCTCCACCTGGCAAAATCCTCCAACTATTCTCTTTACCAGCAATGCTATCCAGAAGGTTCCTAACTCATCTCACAGAGCCTTCTAGCCTCATGTAGGCAACTTCTTTGAAAGGAGCAGTTATATAAATGTGGGGCTTTTCAACCTTGGGATCCCTTAAGTCTTTCTGAGAAGGCTCCTTGGGTGTCAGAATGAGCCATCCTTTAAGCCACTTTAATTTCTAAAAGTGTCTTCTGGGGAGGCAACGAGCCTAAGTGTCAGGATCCTTGCTTCATAAGCCTGCATCTGTAGCTCCATAAAACACTGTTTGCATATTACATTTCAGCTTCACTCCCGAATCTGAGGCCCAAATGTCCTTCCTGAAATTCAAGCAGGAGTCACAAGTCAATATGGGCCAAATGCAGCTAAAGGCATGTTTTGTTTGGTTCAGACAATTTTAGTTTTTAATCAGGAAATTTTACATAAAAGTTAAATCAGGTAAAATTCAATCCCTGGGCCTATATTCCCATATAGCAAGGATGGGCTGGACCCAAGTAGTTCTCTAGGTCATTACAGCCCCCAACACTTGCTGTAGTCTACCTCCTGGCCTCTTCAACACCTGCTTGGCCCTGTCAGCATCAGGCCTTAACACCCAAGGTAAGAGTCCAGAGAGCTTCTGGGCCTACAGGCCAGGGGACAGATGGGAGAACACCCAGAGGGCACTCTAGTCTGCTCTCCCCAGCTGGGTAACCCTACAGAGCCAGCCAGGGAGGCTGGTAAGCTGAGTTTGAAGCCAGTTGCATCCATAAGCTAAGGGCTGAGAAATGCTCCCTGAGCCACTTCCTGCTCCAAGGAGCCTTAAACTGTGCAGTAACACAACCCTAGGCTTCACCCCAGCACTTCCAACTTGCAGCCAGCAATGCTTGGTCCTCCTCCACCTGGCCCTGAATGGCTTGAGTTTACTGAAGAGTCTTTTACTATTAAGGCACTTCAAAATGGTTAAAAGTAATTTTTTATGGGAGGAAACAGCAGGAAAAGACAAGCAGGAGGTGAGGTGGATTGGGCAGTGGGGGTGTGTAGGTAGGATGAAGTAATCTGACCAGTTATATTTAATAAAAAGCTTAAAAGCCACAAACAGGAAGCAGACCTATTAAATAGACAACACTGATCTAACAAAGGAATGTGAACTCGAGTTGACTGAAGCAGCGTCACCATGTCTCCCCTCCCTCCACTCCCACCCACCACCCAGGGCCCCCCAAACAAACCTCCTCCTGCATTCTGGCCTGTTCTGGGAACACCCCCAACTATGAGTTTGCCTTGGGCTAGAAAAAAGGGAAAAGGGAGCTGAGGGGAAGGTCAGCATGATCCTATCCACTCCAAAGAAGCAAACAAACATGCCCTCCTCTCTGTCTGCACCAGCAGAGCCCAAGCAGCCTGCAAAAGGGGCAAGTGCTCTGGGGTGCAGCCCCTCCCTCCAGGCAGTTGCACTCTTGTCCTCCTAGAACCCTGCAACCCTCTTCCCCAGACAGCTCCCAGAGGTATGGGCCCAGGGTCCTGGGGACTGAGGCCTGGACACTGCCTGATTCATGCCCTGTGCATGTTCCCTGGAGCTCAGAGCAGGGCACTGGGGGCTCCAGTGTGGCTGAGGTGAGGACCCACGCAGCTGAGCATCGGGTTGGGTAGGACAGGAGCTTAAAGCCTAGTGTTTGCTAGAGGCTCCCAAGGGAGTCTCTCCATAGGGTGATTAGGCTCAGCCCCACCTTGACAGGGCTTCAGAGCACAAACAGCAAGGCCAAGTGTGCAGGGAAACAGGCTTCTGGTGACAATTGCCCTCCCTCATGAGAGGCAAGTGCAACACATAGCCCTCTGGGTTTTAAGGAGCGAAGGTGCTGGTTTCGCCTGGTGAGTTGTCAGGGATCTGGGAGTCCTACTTCCTAGTTGGGGCCAGGACACCACCCTATCTGGAAATTTTACTCAAAAAGCTACTCACATACCTTCATGTTCAGGCCATTCCTGCCCAACATTCTATGCTGAAACACACACCAAGCTCATTCTCACCTCAGGGCCTTCTCACTTGTCTCCCTCCCTTTCTGCGGCATGTTCTTCCCTAGGTATCAGTGTGGATCCCTCCTTTCTTTAGTCAGGCCTCCACTCCACTGAGACCTCTTGAGAGGTTGCCCTGACTGCCCTGTCCAGACAGCACATTCAGCAATTCACTCCCTGATTTATTTTTCTACACACCAGTCTATCTTCACTTAGTGTGCTCACGCCTGTCCCTTCCCATGACCACAGCACTATGTCTGGTACACAGTAGGACATCCAGGAAATGGGTGCGGGAAAAGTGCATGAGTGATGGAGGGCTGGCTGGTAGAGCTAAAGAAATCCAACAGTTCTATTTCCAGTAGCAAAAACACACCCTTGGCTCCACTGTGGACAAGGCCCAAGCAGAGGCTCAGCAGAGGCTGCTGGTCTCGAAAGCAGGTGGCAACTCACATTCTGGGAAATCCTACGGGCTACCAAGGCAGTAGTCTCAATCACCAAATCTCTCCCTCCAAATGAACTGTCATATCAGTATTATTGTCCCCACTTCACAGATAAGCCATGTGACATATCTGAGGTCACCCCAATGATCATGGTGAAGTGAGAACTGACACTCAGACCCTGAACCTGGCTCAAACTAGATGCTGACTCCACACCAGAGTCTACTAGGACCCAAACTGGCTTTCTAGCCATAAACTGGTAGAACCCGAGGCCATGGTGGACTGAACTCTGCACATCAGCACAGGTAGGCCTAAACACTGTCAGGGCACTGTTTCTGCCATTTCTCCAGGGTCTGCCAGTAAGCAAGAGGAAATAATCATACTCACCAGGGATGTTGATCTTAAACTTGCCACTCTGGCCGAAGGAGCTGTCAATGATGCCCAGTTCTCCAGTGGAAAGGTGTACCTTGAGCCCCACAAACAGCTGGATGTTGGTCTCCTTTTTGAACAGGGAGCGGCCAATCACGTTGTAGTCATCTATTACCTGTTCCCACATACCCAACCCCAGAGAGAGAAAGCATCAGTGTATACCAGTAAAGGCTGAGGCCAAGGCCCGCCACACCCACCCAGATGATCAGTCCATTTTACAGATAATGGAAGGCACTGGAACCATTATAATGACTGGTTCCTTATCAACATCACCACCCACCATTGATAGCTACAGAACCTAGGCCATGAACACTTCATGTGAGTAAATACGCTTAGCCCCATGGTAGCAACACAAAGGAGGTACTTTCTCCACTTTACAGATGTGAAAATAGAGGCACAGCAAGGTTAGGCCACCTGTCCAAGGTCACAGAGCTCATAGGGTAGAGGTAGCTGAGAATCCAAAGCTGCCCTGCCTACACCTGCTTCTGCGTGGCTACCATACCCAACCTGCCCCCAACACTAGTCTAATGATTGCTAGTGGTACTCTCCTCATGAAAGCTTTCTTGGACGCACCAGATTGAAACAATGATGTCTACTCCTGGGCCTGCATCTAGGCTTTCCAGAACCCTCCTCACCCTCTTTCTGGTTTCCCCTCCCACGAGGAATCTGAGAACCTGGTCTCTATCACCCCATCCTACTACATGCCCAGAGCCCCCTTCCTGGCCTGGTCTACATCTACTCCACGGCTCCACTGCACCCTCCTCTGTGATGCCCTCCTGACTCTATCTCAGGAGATGTCCCATTTCCTCCCAGTTCCCTAGTGTTTGTGCCAGGCCCTCTGCTGTAGAGCTTGCACTCCCTCACCTCTTGGTGGAGGCCTGGGCTGAGAAAAGAAAAATACGTGTGTTATGAAAAAGTCATCTATGTACAGCCCTGATTTCATCACAAGCTGTATTCATCTTGAACCTTCTCCCCAAGGGACAGAGTGTGAAAAAACTGAAGTGTTACTCTTCCCCTCCTAAGGTCTCTCGAAGCTCAGATTCTCCTTTGGGGAAGATGCCATAGCCAGGAGACCCCCACCAGATGGCCTCCCTGTCCTGCCCAGCTCCTCTCCAGGGCCTGTGCCAGAAAGCTGCTGGGCCTCTATGTAAAAGAGAAAGGATCTCCGTGTGTGCATACATGCATATTAAAGACCAGACCCCCCCTAGATGACCTTAGCAGGGCTGACAAAATTTCTTCCTGCTCTTTGGAGCAGGGCCTATGCTCCACCTGGCCTCTGTCATACTGGGTCCTGCACAAGGACTACAGGACAAATTGGGAAGTTCATCTTCTTCTCCAGGCCCCATGCATAAGCCTAGGTTCTTTCTGGGGACAGGGTCTGGTCCAAGCAGGAACTGGCACAGGCAGTAGCATGGAGGCCAGAGGTGTTGCCAGAGATGGGACCTGATGCTTCCACAGAGCTCCCTTCATAAACTCCTGGGGAACCCCCAAGGACTGGGCTGTCCTCAGCCTCAGAAACATCTCGCTCTGCCCAAGATTCATCCAAGGGCCCCAGATTTACCCTAAAAACCTTTTGGAAAAACATATCCTATTCTATTTGATTCATAGCACCAGATAAAAGGTACTCGCATTCTTCCTCTCCCGGGTGATGGATGAATCGGATACAAACAATGATAAGAATAATCATTTCCACTTGCACAGCCCTTTATAATGCACAAATCTCATTCCCACACATGAACTCCTCCTCATTCTTCTGGACTTGGCTTTAGCAGAGCAACCCTTGCAGGCTGTGGCTTCTGTGGGCTCTGCCTTTCCTCTCTAGCTCTGCTCTGTCTGTGGATGCTGATCCTTCCACTGTAGTAGGCGTCCAGCAAGGCTGCTGGGGGAACTGGACGCAGATGGTTTCTTAGATCTGCAGGATAGCAGAATCAAGATGAACAGGTGTCACCCACCCCAAATGCTTTCCCATACTTCCCAGCTCCCAGGATCCCAATCCCCTGAGAGGCAGGGCCTACCTATTCACATTCAGCAGCCCAGCCAGGTAAAGTAGGTGCCCAGAACCCAATGGCTCTGGACTAGCAATTCTACATTCCCTATAACTAAAGGGGCTCATTGCTGTCTCCTGTCTCCAACTCAGCCTCTGTTGATAAAGAGAAAGAGAATGCTTCAGAGTCCCTCAACTGTCAGAGCCCATCAATCCTCAGAGCCCCTGAGCCCTTCATAGCTACTCAGCCCCTTAGCCCTTCATAGTACCCTCAGACCCTTAGTCCTTCAGAGCCCCTCGATACTCAGAGCCCCTCAGCTCCTCAAAGTCCCACATCCTATGCTCATCAAGACATTAGGGAGTCCCTTGAGCACCTCTGTCTACAAGGGTTTTCATTCCTACTTCAGAGAGGGCAGAGCTGGGTCAGAAACAAGACCTGAGTGGGCTGTGACCACCCAAGTCAGTGGCACAGCAGAAATGCAAACCCAAGTCTACTGGGCCTCTGCAAAGCAGAGCAAGACCATGGCTGACTCATGCCAAGTTGGAGAAGTGGCAGGTGGTGCTGCCAGGATGTCCTGGTCCCACTGGGGCAGCATGTGTGGGTCCCTGGCCTTGAATAACTATTCTGAGATGTGGCTGAGACACAAGACCTGCCCTGAAGCCACAGCTAGCTGAGAAATGAAAAGGGACAGTGCTTGCATGTGGAGCTTCCACCCTATTTAGAGAATATCTTCTAACAGAACTAGTGGGACCAAACAAGCAACACAGGCAGGTGTTCTCTCAGAAAGTCCTCACCACATTCATAGTACTGTTCTGCCCTTCTTCTATTGAGAGCCTGCCATGGCACAGCATATAGTTGAGAACAAATCAAAGCACCTGCCTCAAGGGACTCATGTATGTCCTAAGGAGAGGTAATGTTTACATCTCCCTTTGCGCCATTGCCTGTGGCCCGTGCACTGGCAGAGACAGGGTGCCCCATCTCTGTGCCAGCTCCTTATGCCCAGTAAGGGCACTAGTCAAGGACTTCGTATCTACAGTGTCCCCAGAAGCCATGGCTTACTGCATCCTGCCCGCCCCCTGCCCCTTTCCTCTGCAACCCCTTGGCCTATCTCTGTCTTCAGAGCATAGAGCATTCCCTGGCATATGTCATAGTTTATCCGTTACTCTTCATGCTCCCAACCAGGATACAAGGTCCATGAGGGGAGAAACATGTCTCCTCCATGGCTGAATTCCCTTACTGGATGCTCCCTGAATGTTGGAGTAAATCCTAAATGCACACCTCACCGTGGTTGCTGGGGCATGCACAGTGCTCGCTTGTGTCTGTGTTCTTTCATTTTTTTAAATCCTTGCCAGAGGATATTTTTACATTGATTTTTAGATAGAGGGGAAGAGAAGGTGGGATAGCGAGTGTGAGAGAGAGAGAAATATCAATGTGAGAGAGACACATTGATTGGTTGCCTCCCACACCTCAACCAGAGCTGGGGATCAAACCTACAACCGAGGTATGTACCCTTGATTGGGAATCGAATTTTTGACCTTTTGGTCCACAGGCTGATGCTCTAACCACTAAGCAAAACAGGTCAGGGCTGTGGTCTTTCATTTTTTAATAGCTCATTTTGGACAACTGATATACAGTAGCATGCACATATTTAAGGTACATAATTCGATAAATTAGGATATATGTATATACTCATGAAACCATCACCACAGTCAATCTACTGAACATACCTATCACCCCCCAAATTTCCTCATGTTCCTTTATCACACTTCCCTCCCTCATACCCTCTCATGCTCTTCCCAGTTCAACTTGGGCATTCCTTCCTTCCCCTCCTGCCCTGAGCGTCTGGCAGTTCTGTCTCATCAATGACAGCTGGCCTGTCTCCCTCACCAAAGACTGGGAGTTCTGTACAAACAACCCTTGCCCTGACCAGTGGCAGGTCCCAGTAAATATGCACATGATATGGAGATGGGAAGGGAGAGACTGGTGAGAGAAGGTGGCTCTTGGCTCTTTGGGGATAAAAGTAAATCACTTAAGTCGACAAGTGGTTGGGGGAGATGCTCATCAAAGAGTGAGCCAGCCAGCCTGCTCTGGGCCTAGCTGTCTTGTATACCCAATGTTGGTTTCTCTCAAAGTAGAACATAGACAGCCCATTGCTTGGCATTCCAATGGCCTGACACTGGGCTTCCTGATGATCAGAGCCCTGGGGTAGCAGGTACTTCCTCTTTTCTTTTGGCTATAAAATATTAACTTAAAAAGCTGACTGCCATGGAGACAGAAGAGTATCCATCTTTCCCCAAGCTAAGGTCTTGCAATGAAGGCAGACTAAATTTATTAACTTCTGGGTAACATCAAAAAGTTTCAGAGCTTTCATGAAAGACAGTGAAGAGCCCAAAGTTGGTTTAAGTGCTACATAAACAGTTTTAGGGCCAGGAAGTAGAAGTCTCTCAGCATTTCTTGTTTACATTCTCATCTGACAGTGAGCCAGTGTGTGGGCAGGGCCTGTAACCCTGCTGGTGTGTGATGCCTTTCAGTTCCTGTATAAGGTTAGAAGTCAATAGGTTTTTTCTGTCCCTCCGAGGAGGGCCCGAGGGGCTCCTCTTGCTGCTTGCCTTATAGTATTTACCGGTGGCAGAGTGGCAGTTTAGAAAAGATTTCAGGTTCAAAGGGAATGTCTCTGTCACTCCTGTTCACTTGTCTTATGATACAACAGTGCTGACACAACAGCGCTGATTGGGTGCTCCCAGTACCTTTTGTGTCTTTGATTCCATTTGTGGATTGAGTGGTGAGGTGGGGAGGCTGGCCTTCAGCACACCACCAGGAACCTGGTCTCAGAAACTCCGGTGTGCCCCTGCTCACTGACAGTTCCACTGTTATGTTCCAGCAGCCCAAGTGGATCCTTCTAGGAGCCAGCAGCAAACCCCTCCTCCCTCAGACTTCCAGCCCTTGGCCCCACTCTTCCACCTGGCCTGCAATAGATGAAAGCCACAAGTTGTCCTTAGCCATGTTCTGGGAGAGGTGCCTCCAGACCATTAGTTACTTTTTTGAAAAGCCCAGCAGAGATCCAACAAGATTAAAGCTGGGATGTGTGACCTGCCCAAAGTCACACATCCCAGCTTTTCCTGCTACTTTT